CTTTGTGTAATATCAAAACAACTTGTACTTCAAAGCAGCTCTTTTTGTTGCGTTTACATCGAAAACATCTTGGGGTAAATAACGCTAAGAAAGGTTTCATCAATGAAGTTTGGGATACTTTACACAAATACAACTTCCGAGGCATCTTACTTGATTTTCTTTATTCTAGGAAATTTCCATCCAAACTTGGCTGGAAATATCTTGTAAAGAATGTCCTTCTGTGTAAAGAATCTGATGACTGACGTTTACGTATAAACAGTTCGTTAAAATTTCATAGATTCAAAATTCTTCATCTTGATATGGTTCCTGCAGTAATTTGGTCATTTTCTAAACGCCATCCAAATTTTAACAGGACATGTAAAACTGTGGCAAAAATGTGGATTGTCCCTCCTACTTGTGAATTTTTATGTGCTCGTGGTAAAGGCACTTTTGAAGACGCAGTCGCCCATTGTTTACTTGACTGCAAAGAGCCCATATTAACGTCTCTGCGAGATAAACTTTTTACCAGTTTTGTGGACAAATATCCAGTTAATGTGTATGTATCATTTGACCAGGCGGACAGAGATATCCAGCTAGCGGCTCTGTTGGGTGCCCCCAGTGAGGACATTTATGAATCATTTTATGACGATTCATCTTTGTTTACATTTTTTTTATGAAAGATGGTCTTATGTTTTCTGAAAAGGCCTACAATATGACTTTTCAGTAAAGGCCATCTCATATCTAATGTTTGATGTGTTCTGCTAGAAATCTCCATTATTGATGGTTTGGTTATTCGCATTCATTGTTCAATATTTATATACATATATTCTTGCACTTTTTTCTTTAATTTTCACCTAAGTACGGGTATACAGTATACAGTACAGGTATACAGTATAGGTATATAGGTATACAGTACAGGTATACATTATAGGTATAAAGTACAGGTATACAGTATAGGTATACAGTATAGGCATACAGTACAGGTATACTAGGTATAAAGTACAGGTATACAGTATAGGTATAAAGTACAGGTATACTAGGTATAAAGTACAGGTATACAGTATAGGTATACAGTACAGGTATACAGTATAGGTATACAGTACAGGTATACAGTACAGGTATACAGTATAGGTATAAAGTACAGGTATACAGTATAGGTATACAGTACAGGTATACAGTATACAGTACAGGTATACAGTATAGGTATACAGTACAGGTATACAGTACTGGTATACAGTACAGGTATACAGTATAGGTATAAAGTACAGGTATACAGTACAGGTATACAGTATAGGTATAAAGTACAGGTATACAGTACAGGTATACAGTACAGGTATTAAGTACAGGTATACAGTATAGGTATAAAGTACAGGTATACAGTATAGGTATAAAGTACAGGTATACAGTACAGGTATATAGTATAGGTATACAGTACAGGTATTAAGTACAGGTATACAGTATAGGTATTTAGTACAGGTATACAGTACAGGTATACAGTATAGGTATACAGTATACAGTACAGGTATACAGCTGGTCTTATTCTTTTTAATCATTTTTTAGGAATCGTCGTGTAAATATTTCTTTTGTTAATTTTTTTAGTTTGGATTATAATTATAATGACATGGTGGTATTTTCTTGATTCGTTTTTCCAGACAAATCTCAGATTAAACGAGATAGTTAAGAAACTGATTCGCCCGGCCTAATGTTGATTTGGCAACTGACGTCAAAGCTGGAATTAAAACAGATAATACAGCTACGGTTATGTGGTTCAACCGACTCCGAGGCTTGCAATCTCTGTTGTCCAGAATCTGTCACGACGCTGCTGAATAAAGTCTTGATAAAGACCATGTCTGAACCTGAAACTTATTTGCGAAGATAGGGACCAACTCACAGTATCAGACAGTTCCTTAAGGACAGGAATTACAGACAGTGTTACAACACTCCTCACAACCTCCTGGAGAGTAGGGACCAACTCACAGTATCAGACAGTTCCTTGAGGACAATTACAAACAGTGTTACAACACTCCTCTCAATCTCCTGGAGATAAGCGACCAACACACAGTATCAGAAAGTTCCTTCAGGACAGAAATTACAGACAGTGTTACAACACTCCTCACAACCTCCTGGAGAGTAGGGACCAACACACAGTATCAGACAGTTCCTTAAGGACAGGAATTACAGACAGTGTTACAACACTCCTCACAACCTCCTGGAGAGTAGGGACCAACACACAGTATCAGAAAGTTCCTTCAGGACAGGAATTACAGACAGTGTTACAACACTCCTCACAACCTCCTGGAGAGTAGGGACCAACACACAGTATCAGACAGTTCCTTAAGGACAGGAATTACAGACAGTGTTACAACACTCCTCACAATCTCCTGGAGATAAGCGACCAACACACAGTATCAGAAAGTTCCTTCAGGACAGGAATTACAGACAGTGTTACAACACTCCTCACAACCTCCTGGAGAGTAGGGACCAACACACAGTATCAGACAGTTCCTCCAGGACAGGAATTACAGACAGTGTTACAACACTCCTCACAACCTCCTGGAGAGTAGGGACGAACACACAGTATCAGACAGTTCCTCCAGGACAGGAATTACAGACAGTGTTACAACACTCCTCACAATCTCCTGGAGATAAGCGACCAACACACAGTATCAGAAAGTTCCTTCAGGACAGGAATTACAGACAGTGTTACAACACTCCTCACAACCTCCTGGAGAGTAGGGACCAACACACAGTATCAGACAGTTCCTTGAGGACAATTACAGACAGTGTTACAACACTCCTCACAACCTCCTGGAGAGTAGGGACCAACACACAGTATCAGACAGTTCCTTAAGGACAGGAATTACAAACAGTGTTACAACACTCCTCACAATCTCCTGGAGACAAGCGACCAACACACAGTATCAGAAAGTTCCTTCAGGACAGGAATTACAAACAGTGTTACAACACTCCTCACAACCTCCTGGAGAGTAGGGACGAACACACAGTATCAGACAGTTCCTCCAGGACAGGAATTACAGACAGTGTTACAACACTCCTCATAATCTCCTGGAGATAAGCGACCAACTCACAGTATCAGACAGTTCCTTAAGGACAGGAATTAAAGACAGTGTTACAACACTCCTCACAATCTCCTGGAGATAAGCGACCAACTCACAGTATCAGACAGTTCCTTAAGGACAGGAATTACAGACAGTGTTACAACACTCCTCACAACCTCCTGGAGATAAGCGACCAACACACAGTATCAGAAAGTTCCTTCAGGACAGAAATTACAGACAGTGTTACAACACTCCTCACAACCTCCTGGAGAGTAGGGACCAACACACAGTATCAGACAGTTCCTTAAGGACAGGAATTACAGACAGTGTTACAACACTCCTCACAACCTCCTGGAGAGTAGGGACCAACACACAGTATCAGAAAGTTCCTTCAGGACAGGAATTACAGACAGTGTTACAACACTCCTCACAACCTCCTGGAGAGTAGGGACGAACACACAGTATCAGACAGTTCCTTAAGGACAGGAATTACAGACAGTGTTACAACACTCCTCACAATCTCCTGGAGATAAGCGACCAACACACAGTATCAGAAAGTTCCTTCAGGACAGGAATTACAGACAGTGTTACAACACTCCTCACAACCTCCTGGAGAGTAGGGACCAACACACAGTATCAGACAGTTCCTCCAGGACAGGAATTACAGACAGTGTTACAACACTCCTCACAACCTCCTGGAGAGTAGGGACGAACACACAGTATCAGACAGTTCCTCCAGGACAGGAATTACAGACAGTGCTACAACATTCCTCACAATCTCCTGGAGAGTAGGGACCAACACACAGTATCAGACAGTTGCTTCAGGACAGGAATTACAGACAGTGTTACAACACTCCTCACAACCTCCTGGAGAGTAGGGACCAACACACAGTATCAGACAGTTCCTTGAGGACAATTACAGACAGTGTTACAACACTCCTCACAACCTCCTGGAGAGTAGGGACCAACACACAGTATCAGACAGTTCCTTAAGGACAGGAATTACAGACAGTGTTACAACACTCCTCACCAGCTCCTGGAGATTAGCGACCAACACACAGTATCAGAAAGTTCCTTCAGGACAGGAATTACAAACAGTGTTACAACACTCCTCACAACCTCCTGGAGAGTAGGGACGAACACACAGTATCAGACAGTTCCTCCAGGACAGGAATTACAGACAGTGTTACAACACTCCTCATAAACTCCTGGAGATTAGGGACCAACTCACAGTATCAGACAGTTCCTTAAGGACAGGAATTACAGACAGTGTTACAACACTCCTCACAATCTCCTGGAGATAAGCGACCAACACACAGTATCAGACAGTTGCTTCAGGACAATTACAGACAGTGTTACAACACTCCTCACAACCTCCTGGAGAGTAGGGACCAACACACAGTATCAGACAGTTGCTTCAGGACAATAACAGACAGTGTTACAACACATATATATTTTGTTTTATAACGAACTAACAACTCTTGGTTGTGAATTATGAAAATCCTGCTACGGTTTTACCATCAATCAAAAGATGAAAAGAAAAAAACATTTGAATTTATTTTTTGAAACAGTTTGTGGTATAAATAGATATAAATGGCAAAACGCCGTAGTTACTGATGAAAATGATAAGATGTTGATGGTGTTAGCCTACTTATCGATTTTATGACAAGTAAAACTTGCTGACGAAAATATGCACCACCTGAAGGTATAGCAAAATGGAAAATAGGATGCACCCCTTTCCCACCTCCCGAGTGTCCCGAAAAGGTTTGTGATCTAAGTAAAATACGGTATTTATTTCCATACACCCTAGCTGGTACATCTCCCAATCCAAATTATCGTTTCTTCTTCTACGTGGAATAATGAGTACATGAACGTTCATTGACATATTGTGTCCTGTAACCCAAGCGCGTGGTGTTGTGTATACGATGTATACTGAAGGATATTAAGTACCGTCTGAAACTCATGGCTGATTCAGGACATCGTAATATTAGTTTGTTTAATGGAACGCGATATTGCGAGACCATCATACGGCGAAGCGAGACCACGATACGACGAGGCGAGACTACGACACCGCCAAGGGAGACCACCATACGGCGAAGAGAGACCACCATACGGCGAAGCGAGACTACGACACCGCCAAGGGAGACCACCATACGAAGAAGCGAGACCACCATACGGCGAAGCGAGACTACGACACCGACAAGGGAGACCACCATACGGCGAAGCGAGACTACGACACCGCCAAGGGAGACCACCACACGGCGAAGCGAGACTACGACACCGCCAAGGGAGACCACCATACGGCGAAGCGAGACTACGACACCGCCAAGGGAGACCACCATACGGCGAAGCGAGACTACGACACCGCCAAGGGAGACCACCATACGAAGAAGCGAGACCACCATACGGCGAAGCGAGACTACGACACCGCTAAGGGAGACCACCATACGGCGAAGCGAGACCACCATACGACGAGGCGAGACTACGACACCGCTAAGTGAGACCACCATACGGCGAAGCGAAACTACGACACCGCTAAGGGAGACCACCATACGGCGAAGCGAGACCACCATACGACGAAGCGAGACAACCATACGACGAAGCGAAACTACGACACCGCTAAGCGAGACCACCATACGGCGAAGCGAGACTATGACACCGATAAGCGAGACCACCAGACGGCGAAGCGAGACTTCGACACCGCTAAGCGATACCACGATAAGACGAAGCGATACTACCATACCGTGAAGCGAGACCCCGACCTTAACCCTAACCTTACTCGCTTAGCGGTATCGTGGTCTCGCAATATCGCGTTCCATTAAACAAAGCGATATTACGATACGTACTTTATGTAATTCGATAATTACACGAGAGACCGATTTTCCATACACAAGCATGCCGCTTCCTCTTTATTTGTTCCTGGTAAGAATTATTGTTACTGTAGATGTACAAAATCTGCCTATTATGCAATCCATCGTTTTCACTTAGAATGCTTATCTCTACAACTGACCACATACCCAAATATATATATATATTCATCGATGTTGCACATGCGCAAGAATTCACGGTCTTGTCACTACTTTGATTGTGTGTAAATACGCGAGGATTAATATGAAGTAGTTTCTAATTCGGCGGTTCTATTTATCAACCGCGTGCTGCTGTAGTGATTTTTTTTATTTTACTTATACAATGTACATATTCCTCAAGTAATCTATTAACAGAAAAATAATAACAGATACGATATCAATAGAATTCTCTTATGATTTAATTCCCTATGAATCAAGAATTTTCAATGGCATATTTTTTTGTTACATAATCACACCATACCATAAAATTCGACGTCACTATGTTACGTCACGTTTGATTGGCAAAATGTTGCAAAATTTGAAATTAGATCTTGAAAGAGCCGTTATAATTGTCAAACGTTTCTTTTTCTGTGATATAAAGATTGTCTTTATTTATTATCATTTTTGTGATTATTTAGACCACGCCCCGCTGTTTGTGTTATAGCTCAATAAGTTTATCCGTAAATACTGTCTGTTCAAATAAGTGAAATACGTTTAATTTTATGAAAGTATATGTATGTAGACAGAATCCCTATAAGCCAGCACAGCATCAACACATTCCATGGTACAACATAAGCAAAAAACAAGCTCAGACAAACAGAAACCTCCGAACTATCTTTAATTTTCATTTGTTCAATAAATGGACCCAAAAACTAAAAACTGCGAATAAACGGTTACTGGTAGTACCGCCATATTAATGATGTCATCCTGTAAACTTAGAACTTAACCGAATATCGCGTGAAGTAGCTGTCGTTTCATAAATGTGAATCATATTCAGAGAAATCTCTTATTTCATGGACCATGTATTCATTTACATTTTGATTTCAAAAGATATGCTACAATGTGCAAGCTTTGCATGTGCAAGCTGATATCCCAGAAGGCTGTAACCATTGACAACCAGACAGATCTTGTAAGGGGTTTCGTTTTTTATCACATATAAGAAAAGATCATCTTACCGTCTTATTGAAAAAAAATGGGTCAAGTATTAGTTAATGTCAACAACACTACCATTTTAAAAAGTCAAGAGTCCTTCCGAACAGAGTGCTGAATATTGACACTCCTCGCGCAGTGTTCCAACGAAGATGCATCACGTGACAACACGAAGACGACAAGCTTCTATTGGCTAAGATCGTAGATAACTGTCCAATCACACCTTCTTGTATTTTCGGGTACATGTCACGCCATTTCCAGTCATTGTCTGAAACAAGGCGTTGTATAAAAAAAGAGAAAGTACATCATGTTTTTCTTATACAATAAATAATGTAATTATCCAGGATTGTTCCATTGCTGATGAAAAAAGAATGACTCATTTTTGTGTTCCCTCATTAGATTGCCATTTTGTATCTAGTATTTCTAGTATTAAAATGACCCCACTGATTTTCATGTAAATAGGCATGGCAACGCCACCCGTGAATACGGACCAACCCTGGACTGTAACACAGGGACCTGAGAAGTTGTTCCGGTGTCGGGGAATACGGACCAACCCTGGACTGTAACACAGGGACCTGAGAAGTTGTTCCCGTGTCGTTGAATACGGACCAACCCTGGACTGTAACACAGGGACCTAATGTTGCATTACAACCATGTATGACATTAGGCTTAACCGCCTAGAAGAGTGTCCCCTCCCCACCACGCCTCATTGGAAAAAGAAAAGAAAATCCCTATAAACAGACCAGGGAGGCCCATATTTATCTTGTAATCTGTAAAAATCCGCATGCCCCTCTGAGTGAGACAAGTTTCACTTAAAAGGAACAATATGATTTTGATACTTAAAACATTAAGACAATCATACATGTGAAAGTTTTTACCTACCATTGTCATGGCGTCTCCGTTAACTGTCCTGATATTTACTGTTTCAAAGCCATCACCTTTCTGAGACTCTTTCAGATTTCCGTTTTCAAGACAGAAAGTGGTCTGGAAAATAATGAAATATTCTATAATTCTCCAAGAAAATACCTCCATTTTACTGAAATGAATTTCCCACAACACCAACCAAGCAAAAGTCAGTTACCGTTGTATGATAATTTCCCGCAACACCAATCAAGCAAAAGTCAGTTACCGTTGTATGATAATTTCCCGCAACACCAACCAAGCAAAAGTCAGTTACCGTTGTATGATAATTTCCCGCAACACCAACCAAGCAAAAGTCAGTTACCGTTGTATGATAATTTCCCACATCACCAACCAAGCAAAAGTGAGTTACCGTTGTATGATAATTTCCCACAACACCTTACGTTTGTTTTGTTGGATTATATTTATGTTTGACTTGAATTTGAAATAGAATTTTGAAATGTTCGTATGACAATCCCTCGACTTCTTTTTGAAGATGAAATGGTTTTGTCTACTTCTAGCTTCCCCTGGCATATTTCCCATACACAGTATCTGACTCACGCCCACCTTGATTGGTCGGCCGTCCAGCGTAAATGTATCAAACTCCTGCCCGAGGGAGAATTTAATTGTCTTCTCTCCCGCCTGTGTCCCCACACGGAACTCCCAATCGTCACCGTTGTTGCAGATTTCATACGACATCTTGGATCCGTCCCCAAGAAATTTAAGTGCTTCCGCCTTCTTCTCCTCCGCTACGCCTGTCAATCAAACGAGTTTAAAATGACCACACAAATCTCAAGAATTCACGATGTAATCATCCACGTAATTCTGCCTAACACATCCTATTGATTATTCATATATTTTCAATTAAAGTCACATATTTTGCATGTAAATTTGCGCAACACCGATATATGAATTAACCAGAGCGCTGTGTGATTTATGATAATGTAAATGCCATCCAGCGCGTGGCCATCATCACGTTATTATTACAGGTATAGAAACGGCGACAGTTAGCCGTCAAAATGGCCGTTCCACTCGATTACCCATTATAATGAACCATTTATTGAAGTTGAAACAAAATAATGATTGATGTAAGAAATCGTGTGTAGAGAATGTAAAGCTCGCCATCTGATATTTATAGTCGTCATTAAAGGGAAGCATCACCTTTAACAGTAGCGCAATAAACGGTAAGATTGCATGTAAAACTGCCATAAGAAGACCGCTCGATGTTGTAAATTTTACAACTTTTCAATACTGCGACTCAAATTACATTAGTTACTTGTTTTCTTGTTTCTTTCCTAAGGAAATCAGAAATTAAGTGTAAAAGATTTCTAGTGACTGATATATATAATGTTTATTTGGACGAAGTTTTGTTGGACTGTACTGAAACGAATGATGAAAATGTTTCAAAAATTAAACTAGAAATACACTTCATGTCTGAAATTGAATTTATTTGCCTATTTTTTATGCTAATTATGTTACTATTTTGCAAACTGGTGGATATAATTAAAAGAAAATAATCATGACTCAGCCTTCTATAATCTGATGTATGATACTCCATTAACGTGGAATGCCTAACAGCACGAAACCTTTTCTCGGTAGTGGAGCGTCATACAGTGGTGGCTTCAGTTTACTCCACAAACAAACACAATTTATGATGATGGTCTGTGTCTGTTATCAATATGTAACAATAATAATCCCTAGACGATCTCCATTCTGTAGGTCGATAATATATTGGCTTTATCACAATAATGTTTATGTCGCATGTCATCTGTTTTAAGCCGAGATCTTCACTCTCTAGTATCCTACAGCATTAATTCATCTATGTTGTGAGTTTCCTGCACATTATGTTCTACTACACAATATAAAATATTGTTTTGATAATTACCCGATTTTTTTTTCATTTTTTCTAGTTAGTGAATATTGACATTGTCCGGTATCATGAAACATTGACATTATCCAGTGTCATGAAACATTGACATTATCCAGTGTCATGAAACATTGACGTTATTCAGTGTCATGAAACATTGACGTTATCAAGTGTCATGAAACATTGACGTTATCCAGTGTCATGAAACATTGACGTTATCCAGTGTCATGAAACATTGACGTTATCAAGTGTCATGAAACATTGACGTTATCCAGTGTCATGAAACATTGACGTTATCCAGTGTCATGAAACATTGACGTTATCCAGTGTCATGTTGACGTTATCCAGTGTCATGTGTCACATTTTTACTTGACAATATGTCAGATTGTAAATTTGGTATATTATTTGATATAAAGTATAATTCATTTTCATTTTATGAGAGATTATGAAAATTTTTCTAGAAGTTTTAATTTTTGCTCTCCAGTGTTCGCCAGATTAGAATTTCAGATTCGTCACACAAAATAAAACTCATTTTAAGGCCTTACACCACACCTGGTGATTCTTCAGGTGTTGTATCATTTTGTTATCGATGTTTTCACATACCAGAAAAAAAATAATACCACACTTGGCCCAGATTTCGAAAGCTTGATTATTCATGTAGTTAACTAGTGGTTTGTGAAAACTATTGTTACTACTGAAAAAACGAGGACTTTGAAAGCAAAAGTGACACTTAAGGTATCAGACTGTCTGAAGAAATTTACAGCTGTAAAACGACCAATAATGTTTCCACTAGCCAATTTGGTAACTCTCAACAACCTTCGATAAACACTATCACACCTAACCATCCCTAACACACCCTCCCTTCATTAAGACATCTCCGTTCCTCGAAAACTCCCCTCTATTCAACATCGCCAACCTAACATACTTCCTCCTTAGCTACACTATTCCCTATCCAACATCGCCTCCCCATACACCTTCCTAGCATACTCACTTTTCTCTAAATACTTCACACACACCCCCCCTTCCTAAACACCTCCTTACATTTCCTTCCATCATCCCCCTTCCCTTGCCAATACACCTTCTTTCCTTAACACATCCCTAACACACCTCCCTTCCTCAACATCCCCTAACACACCTCCCTTCCTCAACATCCCCTAACATACCTCTCTTCCTCAACATCCTGAAACACATCTCCCTTCCTCAACATCCCCTAACACACCTCTCTTCCTCAACATCCCCTAACATACCTCCCTTCCTCAACATCCCCTAACATACCTCCCTTCCTCAACATCCCCTAACACACCTCCCTTCCTCAATATCCCCTAACATACCTCTCTTCCTCAATATCCCCTAACATACCTCCCTTCCTCAATATCCCCTAACATACCTCTCTTCCTCAACATCCCCTAACATACCTCTCTTCCTCAACATCCTGAAACACATCTTCCTTCCTCAATATATTCCCAAACATACCTCCCTTCCTCAACATCCCCTAACACATCTCCCTTCCTCAACATCCCCTAACAAATCTCCCTTCCTCAACATCCCCTAACACACCTACCTTTCCTCAACATCCCCTAACACACCTCCCTTCCTCAACATCCCCTAACATACCTCCCTTCCTCAACATCCCCTAACATACCTCTCTTCCTCAACATCCCCTAACATACACCCCCCCCCTACAACATACCTTGTCTTTTCCCACTATAAACACCATTCCGTTACAGCAAATGTTATTACAATGTTGAGTGAGTGTTTGTAGTTAGCAGAATACTTACACCTGTAGGTATGTAACCATAACAATCGTGTTTTACACGTGCATTCTATCGGCTACCACTGCTATAGCGAAACCCTGAAGTGTATGTGATTACTTAAGCACGGACACCGTTAACTGGTTTGTGTAAACTTCCCGGTTAGTTATGGGTTAGTGGTATTATTGACGTGAGTGGATCAAAGATAGAAAATTGTTTTCTATTTCATAATTAACCCTCTGACTTTCTTTACAAATGTGATATGGTAATTAAAAAATCTGTCGGGAACCATCGTCAGTTTGTCACGTGACACTTAAGCGTTCATTATATGTAAAGAATGTATCATTACGACGCAAAAAACACGTGCGGTACATTATTCCGTTTTTTTTTTCAATATTAAGCTGTTGATTCAGTAAGAATATATGATAGCCTTTCATAATTCTATACTAACACAGCAGGGCCGTGCGCAGTCCGCCACTAATCACTTTGATACGATACAGACTTACTCGTTTAGATTGACTGACGTTTAACTTCAGCATCTTTGCAGGCGAGCAGTAAACTTCGTTTATGATTATTTTGCTGTCGACTTGGACGGGTAATATAGCAATACAGTGTCCGTCCATTCGTCTGTCTGTCCCTTAGTCTGTAATTAAACTATTCAATCGCTCTGAAGGACTTAATTGGTACACTGTTTTTTTGTTTTGTTATTTTTTTTTTCAAAAATATAAACCGTATGTAGTTGTTTAGAACTTCATTACATTTACGTTTTCTGATCCGAAAGTTAAAAATTAGTCCCCGTGTAATTTCACCCATTTTCTATCTCCATGTGAAATATCACGGCTATTTGTATTTTCCTTGGTTAGTAAATATATAGGCTTTCTCTAAATATCGCGTAAGCAAAGCAACAAGTAAAGGTTTGAAATAAAAAAAAACCTCACACATTAATACTTAGTCATTATACCAACAAATTTCTTTATGTCCGTTTCAGATTTGAGCATCTAAATAGGAAACCTCCCAACTGTGATAATTAGTAAATGACATACAGCTGTACTGAATGAGAACAGCATCATACAGAAGTAGAGGCTATCAGCCAATCAGCAAGTTTATCTATAAACACCGTATCAACAGCATGTTCTTTAAGTTCAGTCAGTTTTTGTAGTCAGTAAGAAAGACACGTCTTGAAGTTTACTAAAACATTATCCCGTGGGGGCATCCCGACAGCGCGATATCACAAAAATAATTCTGGTTTTAAAAACAATGAAGAGATCAAATATCTTGTAGATCCGATTTCCATCACTAATCACCGACAGGATCGTATAGTGTTCTCCGGAGTTATTGCTTCATAAATTTGATGATTACAGACGTGACGATAAGACATTCTACAAACCGTACATAGAGAGGTACTAAGCGATAACTCAGAATAGTATCACGGATGTCGCCGATATTCCCTTTGTGTTGACGGGTACTATTCCGGAAATAAGATTCAGTCGTCCGCGCATTTTATTAATATGCATCAACACACCGCCATTCTACTGGAGACGGTTTATTACCATTCCCCTGTATGTATTACAGGTTTATCTAGAGAGCACACGTCAAGATATAGTATTTAACTGAAAACTCTGAAAACACATGTTTGTAAGATATACCAACAGACTGGGTCTCATGCCAGTATAATCGACAAATTTCGGCCCACATGAAGCGACAAAGGATATATGTATACATAGATATAAAGTAGAACAGCCATAACACAGGTCGATGAACACAATTATTGAGAAATAATATCTTTTACATGCACTTGTATAATCTTTATACTAGTTTGATTCAGTTCTATTGACAAATTTACGCATGACATATATTGGGCGAGAAATTACATCTAAAATAGATTTTGATGAATAGATTTAGAGCGCGAAAATTTTATTTTTATTGTTTATCAACCAGGAAAAATAATATCAGCTCTAAGTTCGTTTTCCCATACGCATTATATGTGTATGTTTAATTGTTGATAACCGAATAAATATCGTGTAAACTAGATATGTATTGTAGAGTGGATTTAGGCCCGAGAAAAGAGGACACTTGATGTACCTGCCGCCGAGCGTACGTCTCGCCCCGAGTGTTTAGTTTGCGATGTTTACAAACCAGCGATATGCCATGATGTATGTGAACCAGTGTCATTTATTCCCCTATAAAGGATATGTATATATGACCCTACGTTATGGGAAGCGATTCTAGTGATTTCTGTTCACTACACATTCGTTATCTACTTTGAACGTTCGTATTTCAGTTGTTGCAATTCCGTTTGATCGCGAAAGCTTGAAACGGGACGAGATATTAAGATTTAATTGAATTGTGTCTTTGTTCCCGAACAGACGAAGATGGAAACCAGACTTTACACTACAGCCAATCCACGGAACACTTTGCCAGATTATCTAGTGTTGGAAAGTCTGGCAAACTTGATCAGTAAATACGTCTAATGTCGTAAAGACGACTTGTCAAAGACACCACCCACCTGATCACCGAAGCGTAACACAACGACCAGCAATGTGACGCGTCATCAGTTATGACGTCAATTTGATCTAGGTCTAACAGGATTGTCAACTTTTGAATTATGCATAGATTCCACAGAAAGCGGGAAGTTGGGGTCTCCATTGAAAGCGGAAAGCTGGGGTCTCCACAGAAAGCGGGATGTTGGGGTCACTATAGAAAGCGGGAAGCTGGGGTATCAACAGAAAAAGGGATGTTGGGAATTAGTATGACTATATATTTACCACTGGATGACATTCCAACAATATAACCTTACCAAAGCTAGTTGTGTATTACCAGCTCATGAACTGACACAGCGTAGGAATATTACAAGTGATGTTAACAGATTCAAGTTTCCTTCCATTTTTATAACAAGACGAAAATTGAAAACGTTAAATATGACCATAGAACTGCTTTCAGTTGGCATTCATGGGCATATGAATAACAACAGGATAAAGACAAATTTAACATGAAGCACGTCAGATCACTACATTTACACCCTAGTTTTAGACTAGTATACGTTGACATCAGATAAACAAGTAGTACACTAGAGGCTAATCAGGTAAGAGCAATCCCTGATACATAAATATAATGAGTAATTTTACTTTTTGTTAGAAAACCTTGATGATGTTTACACTGCCCTCACAAAACATTGATGATGTTTACACTGCCCTCACAAAACATTGATGATGTTTACACTGCCCTCACAAAACCTTGATGATGTTTACACTGCCCTCACAAAACCTTGATGATGTTTACACTGCCCTCACAAAACCTTAATGATGTTTACACTGCCCTCACAAAACATTGATGATGTTTACACTGCCCTCACAAAACCTTAATGATGTTTACACTGCCCTCACAAAACCTTAATGATGTTTACACTGCCCTCACAAAACCTTAATGATGTTTACACTGCCCTCACAAAACATTGATGATGTTTACACTGCCCTCACAAAACCTTAATGATGTTTACACTGCCCTCACAAAACCTTGATGATGTTTACACTGCCCTCACAAAACCTTAATGATGTTTACACTGCCCTCACAAAACCTTAATGATGTTTACACTGCCCTCACAAAACCTTAATGATGTTTACACTGCCCTCACAAAACATTGATGATGTTTACACTGCCCTCACAAAACATTGATGATGTTTACACTGCCCTCACAAAACCTTAATGATGTTTACACTGCCCTCACAAAACCTTAATGATGTTTACACTGCCCTCACAAAACATTGATGATGTTTACACTGCCCTCACAAAACCTTAATGATGTTTACACTGCCCTCACAAAACCTTAATGATGTTTACACTGCCCTCACAAAACATTGATGATGTTTACACTGCCCTCACAAAACCTTAATGATGTTTACACTGCCCTCATAAAACCTTCATGATGTTAACACTGCCCTCACAAAACCTTGATGATGTTTAAACTACCCTCACAAAGCCTTGATGTTTACACTTCCCTCACAAAACCTTGATGTTTACACTTCCCTCACAAAACCTTGTTGATGTTAACACTACCCTCACAAAACCTTGATGTTTACACTATCCTCACAAAACCTTCATGATGTTAACAGTGCCCTCACAAAACCTTCATGATGTTTAAAGTACCCTCACAAAACCTTGTTGATGTTAACACTGCCCTCACAAAACCTTGATGTTTACACTACCCTCACAAAACCTTCATGATGTTAACACTGCCCTCACAAAACCTTGATGATGTTTAAACTACCCTTACAAAGCCTTGATGTTTACACTTCCCTCACAAAGCCTTGATGTTTACACTTCCCTCACAAAACCTTAATGATGTTTACACTGCCCTCACAAAACATTGATGATGTTTACACTAACCTCACAAAACCTTGATGATGTTAACACTGCCCTCACAAAACCTTGATGTTTACACTAACCTCACAAAACCTTGATGATGTTTACACTAACCTCACAAAACCTTGATGATGCCCTCACAAAACCTTGATGTTTACACTAACCTCACAAAACCTTGATGATGTTTACACTAACCTCACAAAACCTTGATGACGTTAACACTGCCCTCACAAAACCTTGATGTTTACACTAACCTCACAAAACCTTGATGATGTTAACACTGCCCTCACAAAACCTTGATGATGTTTAAACTACCTTACAAAGCCTTGATGTTTACACTTCCCTCACAAAACCTTGATGTTTACACTTCCCTCACAAAACCTTCATGATGTTAACACTGCCCTCACAAAACCTTGATGATATTTAAAGTACCCTTACAAAGCCTTGATGTTTACACTGCCCTCACAAAACCTTGATGTTTACACTTCCCTCACAAAACCTTGATGTTTACACTAACCTCACAAAACCTTGATGACGTTAACACTGACCTCACAAAACCTTGATGACGTTAACACTGCCCTCACAAAACCTTGATGTTTACACTAACCTCACAAAACCTTGATGATGTTTACACTAACCTCACAAAACCTTGATGACGTTAACACTGCTCTCACAAAACCTAACTTAGTGCTGTAACTCGAAATACTGAATAATTATATTTATCAGTCGTTACTGATACGACCGTAGACTGTCATCTGCTATATACCAAATGCTTTACATTCTGTGAGAAGTTACTATTAATTTTTTGAAATTGATAATCAATCTGCACTTCTATCAAAATGTATACATACCGATAGCGCTCATATATTCGCTAAAATTCTCACTACTCTGAATTTCCCACTTTCCATTAAAACTCGCCATGGCAAATTGAATGTCCGTGTCTCTCACACAATACAATGTTTCCACTACAGAATAACCTACAGTTGGCAGTGATCTAAATACCTCGGCTACGTGGTCCGGTCCAGCGCCAGCCTCTATTTATACATATCAACAGTCTGTGGCATTCTGGGAAGGTAGGATTGGTGAAACCCTGATTCACGTTCGTCTATCCGGGAGCTGAGGGTGTTACGTAACGATGATAGTAATGTGAATTTACTGCATTCTTCACGTGACTGACGTCACCATCACAATATGTATCATCATTGGTACAAATGTCATTAGGTGTAAGCCGCAGAGTCGGGAAATCATTCGGTACAGAACAGCCACTAGTGACCATTGAAACTTGTTACAGCACATTTCAAATTAAATTTTTCTCGGAAAATGAAATTAAAACAAAATCTTCACAGACAGTCACTGACAAACTATGTAATATTTTTCATTGATTATATAATTGTTTATATGTATCAAGCGAGTCTTCAGACTTTTTAAAGAATCTCCATTGTGTCAATATTATATTAAAAAAACTTGTACGTTGGTAAAGGTCACAGAATGGTCAATTTGTGGTGGACAATGTAACATCAATGAGCCACGAAGTGAACATCTTCATTTTAGTTACGTACGCCTGCTTCTAATGCAGATGTATATTAAACAATTTCGACTTTAAAAAACCCAAAGAAATATGGCTATTTTCCGTATAAAAATTGCAATCAGTTTTAGGTATAGTACCCAAAGCTGTGATTTTAACTGTACTAAGGAATGTGTCAGTATCTCAAGGCAAGTAGAAAATCTCTCTTTATACAATCTTCTCTCCCGGGACAGTGTTTCTTTATAAAGTCTTCTATCCCGGGACAGTGTCTCTTAATAAAATCATCTATCCACGGACAGTGTCCCTTGATAAAGTCTTATCTCCCGGGACAGTGTCTCTTGATAAAGTCTTATCTCCCGGGACAGTGTTTCTTTATAAAGTCTTATCTCCCGGGACAGTGTCTCTTGATAAAGTCTTATCTCCCGGGACAGTGTTTCTTTATAAAGTCTTATCTCCCGGGACAGTGTTTCATAATAAAATCATCTATCCACGGACAGTGTCTCTAGATAAAGTCTTCTATCCCGGGACAGTGTCTCGTGATAAAATCTTCTATCCACGGACAGTGTCTCTAGATAAAGTCTTCTCTCCCGGGACAGTGTCTCGTGATAAAGTCTTCTATCCCGGGACAGTGTCTCCTGATAAAGTCTTCTATCCCGGGACAGTGTTTCTTTATAAAATCTTCTATCCACGGACAGTGTCTCCTGATGAAGTCTTATATCCCGGGACAGTGTCTCTTTATAAAGTCTTATCTCCCGGGACAGTGTTTCTTAATAAAATCATCTATCCACGGACAGTGTCTCTAGATAAAGTCTTCTATCCCGGGACAGTGTCTCGTGATAAAGTCTTCTATCCCGGGACAGTGTCTCCTGATAAAGTCTTCTATCCCGGGACAGTGTTTCTTTATAAAATCTTCTATCCACGGACAGTGTCTCCTGATGAAGTCTTATATCCCGGGACAGTGTCTCTTGATAAAGTCTTCTCTCCCGGGACAGTGTTTCTTTATAAAGTCTTCTATCCCAGGGACAGTGTCTCCTGATAAAGTCTTCTATCCCGGGACAGTGTCTCTAGATAAAATCTTCTATCCCGGGACAGTGTCTCTTGATAAAGTCTTCTCTCCCGGGACAGTGTCCCGTGATAAAGTCTTATCTCCCGGGACAGTGTCTCTTGATACAGTCTTCTTTCCCAGGACATTGTCTCCCGGGACAGTGTCTCGTGATAAAGTCTTATCTCCCGGGACAGTGTCTCTTGATACAGTCTTCTTTCCCAGGACATTGTCTCCTGATTTAGACTTATATCCAGGGACAGTGTCTCCTGATAAAGACTTGTATCCCAGGACATTGTCTCCTGATAAACACTTATATCCAGGGACAGTGTCTCCTGATAAAGACTTGTATCCCGGGACATTGTCTCCTGATAAAGACTTATATTCCGGGAAAGTGTCTCCTGATAAAGACTCGTATCCCGGGACAGTGTCTCCTGATAAAGACTTGTATCCCGGGACAGTGTCTCCTGATAAAGACTCGTATCCCGTGATGGTGTCTCTTCATAAACTTTAATAAAACTTATCTCGGGACAGTGTGTTTTGGAAACGACATCTTGTCCCGAACACCACCAGGACTCCATCAATATTAGTAATATCAGTTCCCGTTAATGACGGAGTTTTATCGATCGGCGAACTTCTCCAAGTGATGCATGCGTGCTCCAATGTCGATGCCCTACTTCAGCAGATTTAATTACAATCACAATATCCATCCCGGGACGGTAGCTGTGGGTTTCTCCGTGCTGCCCGCTCATTTCTCCATCCTCGACAGTGGCAAATATTGATACAATCTAAAGCCCCAGCAGAGGGGTGTCATACATACATGAATTCCGATCGAATTTTCCCGAGTAATTAAAACCCCTTTTTGATCATCAGAGACATGGAAATGAACACTCTGGAAAATAACGTTAACGTATTGCTTGTAATAACTAAGGGTAATATTGACTTTTCGTTTGGCTGACGAATTACAAACATGTCAACATCGAGGTGAACAACTTAATATTACACTTATAAAACCGATATCGATATTTTTATTGTCGTTTTTTTATTATTTAAATCGTATTGAATAGTTCACGAGATAAATATATATTTTTGTATTTAAGATTGTTAAATGGCCATGCTTAATTTTGTTTTCTATTTCCGGATCCGGTAGATATGATATCATGTTTTTTGACATCAACGATTGAAAATAGAAAAGAAGATGAGCTCATACAAGTATTTAACCACCATATATATCGCGTACTCTTATCGTACACACCGCCATTTGTATTTTCGGGATGTAGTGGTACTTTACATTTAAACAGTATCATTGTGATTTACATTCTGTTAACACATTCATATGACCCTTTTTTAGGAGTTTAACAAGAAATCATGAAAATGTTGAACAAAATAATAGTTATGAAAAACGGCGAAGGGTGTGTGGAACTTTCTACAGAAAATTCATCCGTCGATCGCACGTGTCTTCTTCTCCTCACAGTGTCTCATTAGTCTGCATATAACTTAAGGAATAGAGAGGAATACCACATACCTCACAGTGTCTCATTAGTCTGCATATAACTTAAGGAATAGAGGGGAATACCACATACCTCACAGTGTCTCATTAGTCTGCATATAACTTAAGGAATAGAGAGGAATACCACATACCTCACAGTGTCTCATTAGTCTGCATATAACTTAAGGAATAGAGAGGAATACCACATACTTCACTATGGCATTAGTCTGCATATAACTTAAGGAATAGAGAGGAATACCACATACCTCACAGTGTCTCATTAGTCTGCATATAACTTAAGGAATAGAGAGGAATACCACATACCTCTCAGTGTCTCAGTAGTCTGCATATAACTTAAGGAATAGAGAGGAATACCACATACCTCACAGTGTCTCATTAGTCTGCATATAACTTAAGGAATAGAGAGGAATACCACATACTTCACTATGGCATTAGTCTGCATATAACTTAAGGAATAGAGAGGAATACCACATACCTCACTATGGCATTAGTCTGCATATAACTTAAGGAATAGAGAATAATACTACATACCTCATTATGGCATTAGTCTGCATATAACTTAAGGAATAGAGAGGAATACCACATACCTCACTATGGCATTAGTCTGCATATAACTTAAGGAATAGAGAGGAATACCACATACCTCACTATGGCATTAGTCTGCATATAACTTAAGGAATAGAGAATAATACTACATACCTCACTATGGCATTAGTCTGCATATAACTTAAGGAATAGAGAGGAATACCACATACCTCACTATGGCATTAGTCTGCATATAACTTAAGAAATAGAGAGGAATACCACATACCTCTCAGTATCTCATTAGTCTGCATATAACTTAAGGAATAGAGAGGAATACCACATACCTCACTATGGCATCAGTCTGCATATAACTTAAGAAATAGAGAGGAATACCACATACCTCTCAGTGTCTCATTAGTCTGCATATAACTTAAGGAATAGAGAGGAATACCACATACCTCACTATGGCATTAGTCTGCATATAACTTAAGGAATAGAGAGGAATACCACATACCTCACAGTGTCTCATTAGTCTGCATATAACTTAAGGAATAGAGAGGAATACCACATACCTCACTATGGCATTAGTCTGCATATAACTTAAGGAATAGAGAGGAATACCACATACCTCTCAGTGTCTCATTAGTCTGCATATAACTTAAGGAATAGAGAGGAATACCACATACCTCACTATGGCATTAGTCTGCATATAACTTAAGGAATAGAGAGGAATACCACATACCTCACAGTGTCTCATTAGTCTGCATATAACTTAAGGAATAGAGAGGAATACCACATACCTCACTATGGCATTAGTCTGCATATAACTTAAGGAATAGAGAGGAATACCACATACCTCACAGTGTCTCATTAGTCTGCATATAACTTAAGGAATAGAGAGGAATACCACATACCTCACTATGGCATTAGTCTGTATATAACTTAAGGAATAGAGAGGAATACCACATACCTCACTATGGCATTAGTCTTACGGTGTCTTCTTTCATTAACTGTAATTTATCGAATGATTTGCCTCTGGATAAAACTGCACCACTTTGCAACAATGTAAAAATAGCAACAGGAAAGGAGTATTTTAAGGAATTTGGAGAAAGGAAAGTAAACACAATACCTTGTCGTATACACGATAATGATAGCTATTTGTTTTAGGATTCATTCCGTGCCATTGACAGCCCGTCCTGTCGATGTGGTCATAATACGGAGGACACCAAACACTTTTTTATTGTTCAATGTATAATGTTTAAAGAAATACGATGTTTACACACTTAATATGACACACAAATATTACATATGAAAGCCTTTTGTATGATGATAGTTCTTTAGATATAAAATCAAATGAAGGTGTTTGTAAGCATGTTGAGAACTTGATTATTGATAGTAAAAGATTTGCCTAAA